ACCCATCTCGGGGCACGCGTGATGTTCACGGTCGTTGGTCCGTGATGGTCTCCGTGGATGTAAACTATGGGGCGTCCCGCACACGCGCGCGCGATGGCGCACGCGCGCGACGACGACGCCGCCGACGCCCTCGACGCGCTCGCGGACGCGGCGCGGACGATCGCGCGCGATGTGAAATCCGCCGACGCGTTGGTGGCGTACGGCGACGCGCACGGAAGCGCGTTGACGACGAGCGATGGGAATTTGCTCGGAAAGCTCTTCGACGCCTTCGCGGCGAGCGACGGCGATGGGTGGCGCGAGACGCGCGGTCGGGGGGGGGCGCGGGTGTTTCTACGCGCGAGCGCGGACGCGTCGACGTCGCGGGCGCATCAGGTGCTGGGGACGTGCGAGACGCGGGCGACGGCGGATGAGGTGTTTGCGTTTTTTAGCGACGCGAGCGCGTTCGACGCCCGGTTCAGGGCGTTGGATGAGATGTTTAAGGGTGGTGATGTGTTGTCGTATAGGTTGTATGATGATATGTTGCGGAGTGAGGGGGGGGGGGGTGGAGAGGGGATGGAGGGACGCGCGCGCGCGACGCGGGCGAGACGGTTTCCGGGATTCGGGCGCGGGGACGGACCGCCCAAGTTTGGGGAGTTGTTCGATCGATTGGAGCGCTCGGGCAGGGGTGGACGGGAATCTGCGGACGGTGGGGATCGTACGGTGAGGATGTCGTCGCGAAAACCGGCGATGGAGACGTTGGAGACGGTGCCGCGGACGCGCGCGGAGGCGCCGGACGCGAACAATCCGCTCGGGTGTCGACCGGGACACGCGATTCTACGAGGGGCGTTCAGGCTGCCGTCCATCATACGCGATCGTGATTTCGTTTGGGAACAACTGACGATGAAACTCCCGAACGGGGCGGTCGTCGTCGCGGCGCAGTCGGTGGAAAACGGCGTCATCAACGCCGTGGCGCCGCCGTTGGAAGGACACGTGCGAGGAAAGATTATAGTCTCGGGATACTACGCTGCGCCAAATCCGGCGACCGGAGGGTCCACGCTGTACTACGTCGTCCAGGCTGATCCGAAGGGACACCTACCGATGTGGGTGGTGAACGCGGTGGCGCCGAATCAGGCGGAAAATGTCGCTCGATTAAGAAATGTTTTGGACGCGCCGAAAAAGTAACCGCGACTCCTCCGACGCCAATCTATCTCTATGTACACGCTAATCGCTATCGTTTTCTAATTTCAATAGCACGAATCCACGACGTCGCATCCGTACTGCGATTTCGCCATGCGCGCTATGATCATCTCCAACAGAGCCGGCTCACTCAAGACGACGTCGAAGAACCCTTCGACGTGCGCGAGTCGCTCAAAGTTTCCGTCCACCCCACTGACGACGCTCTCATTCGTCTTGTTCGATATCGTCATCGTGCGGAACGCTCTCTCTGTCGAAGACGACGCCGCTCTCTTGGCGCACATCAATAGCGCGATCACCGCCTCGCGGAACGCGATTGGAAAATTCTTGTGCGACTTTGCGCTCCAGTACCTCGGTACGCCCACTCTCCACGCGTTGACGACGCCGCCGTCCGCGGTGGCGCCGTACATCTCATCTCGCGAGGGCGTGATGGCGAGTAAACTTGGAAGCGTTCGTTTATGCCCACTGGTGTCCACGAAATCTTGTGGAGGGTGCAAAGACGTCACGAGCGCGCCGTTTCCGGAATTGATGACCCACACCGCGCCGTCTCTCAAGGCGAGGAATAAATTCGATCCGACGCCCTGGAGTGACCCACAGTCGACGAACACGTTCGACGCGCCGAGACCTTCGATTTGAAACCTATCGAACTCGGAGCCGTCCTCGGCGTCGACGATGACGAGTTTGATGGTTGAGTCGGGCGCCGCGTACGTCGTGCCCGAAACCATTTCGGCGCACGAACACGTCGCGACCGCCCTTGACGATTTAACCCCCCCGCGCTCGATCACCGCCGCACCGGCGAGGAATATCCCACGACCTGGTTCCCTGCGCGATCGCCACGCTAACTTACACGAGCCGTTCGCGCCGACTTCGACGCACATCAAACTCTTACGATCGAACGAAGTCGCGCAAAACGACGAGTCGCTCGTCTTCGCGTACGCGCTCGAGGTCCCGATCCACGTTTTATCGCTCCCAGACGCGAACCCCTTCCCCGCGGTATCATTAATAATCTCGTCGTACGTCTCACCTCCCCAGACGCGCAAAACCCGCCCACCGTCTCCCGTGCACGCGATTAAAAACGTCTCGCCGCGTCCGCATCGAACCGTCGCCAACCGCCGCGCCGGGGCGGAACCGCTCGCACCCAGCGTCCGAATCAGCGCCGCGCTCGCGACGTTCCCGAACCTATCGAACCCTAATCTATACACCACAACTCTCCCATCGATAGCCCCGCACGCGACGTCGTTCGCCTCGCTCGCCGTCGCGCACGAGCGAAACCCGCCGAACCCATCCGCGCGCCGCCAAACGATCATTTTCTCGATCGAACCGCCTCTACTTTCGCCCGAGCGCGGCGCGAACGCGACGACGGCGTCGCCCGGCGTCGCCGCGCTCGCCCCCGCGCACGAGATCGCGCGTTCGCCGACGCACAGCGCGTGCACCTCGAACGAGTCAGACATCGACCTCGCCGGAGACATCCCACCCGCATCGCTCGCGTCGCCCGATCCGCGCACACGCACGCTCTGTCGACGCGCCGGGACGAAATCATCCGCCGCGTACGCGCTCGTCGCCGCGACCGAGGACGATCGCGCGCCCGGCGGCGCCATGCGTCGCGATGTCCCGCGATGCGCGCGCACGTCGACGTTTCGACTTCCATCGCCCACGACATCGCGCGCGCGCGCGTCTCGCCGCCCCCCCCCGCGCGCGTGAATTTTTTTCCAATCCGCTCACGTCGCGTCCGTCGAACGACGACGCGCGCGCGTCCGTCGAACGACGCGCGCATCGACGCCGCATCGTGTCCTCGCGCGCCCGCCGCCGGCAACGATGACGTCATTGTCGCACGTCCCGTCCACGCCCGCGCGTCCCGCGGCCTCGCGCGCGACCGCGACGGGGGCGTAAAAACGTCTCGCATGGCCGTCGACGCCGCGCGCGCGCTGCGCGATCGCGCGCTGCCCATGGAGGCGCGTTTTACCGCGCTGTTTCGCCTGCGGTCGCTCGGTGACGACCGATCGGTGGACGCCTTGCTCGACGCGCTCGACGCCTCGGTCGAGCCCTCGGCGCTGTTGCGACACGAGTGCGCGTTCGCGCTCGGACAGATGCGGGCGGGACGAGCGATCGAGCGGTTGATCGAGGTGATGGAGGACGAGGGCGAGGATGGCATGGTGCGACACGAGTGCGCCGAGGCGCTGGGCGCGATGGCGAGGCGTGAATCGAGAGCGATCGACGCGTTGACGCGAGCGTGTGGGTCGTCTACGCGGGAGGTGTCGGAGACGGCGAGCTTGGCGCTGAGAAAGCTGAAGAGCGGGAGCGTGGACACGGGATCGACGGTGGGGAGCGCCAAGGAACGGGCGAGCGCGAACGAACGCGTCGTCGATGGCGACGATGAGAGCGGTGCGACGCCGTACTTGAGCGTGGATCCGGTGCCGGCGATGGCGGCGTCGACGCCCATGGAGACGCTCGAGCGTGTGGTGCTGGATGATACGGAGGATATGTACGCGAGGTACGGCGCGATGTTCGCGTTGCGCAACGCGTCGTACGCGTCGGCGAGTTCATCGGATGCGTGCGCCGACGTCCTCGGACGCGTCTTGGCGACGTCTGAGAGTGCGTTATTGAAGCACGAGGTGTGCTACGTCTTGGGTCAGTTACAGAGCGCCTCACCTGGCGCCCGCGACGCGCTCGTGCGATGCCTGGAGGACGCGCGCGAGCACCCGATGGTTCGCCACGAGGCCGCCGAAGCTCTGGGCTCCATCGCCCACCCGAGCACCAAAGATTATCTCGAGACGTTCGCTAAAGATCCCGAGCCGATCATCGCCGAATCCTGCGAGGTTGCCCTGAGCATCATGCGCGCCGAGCAAGACAACGTCTTCATCGGCGTCGACGGAACCGTCGCCGTGATCGGCACGTAGCGCGCGCGCACCCCATCGACGTCGCGATCGAAACATCCATCATGTAACACGCACGTTTTCATCGCGCACCCGATCGCCCGCGCTCGACGCATCGCGCATCGCGCACGCGTTCCTCGAGCGCGTTCTCCGTCTCGCGCGCGCGAACCCTCCTCACAATCCAACGCGTCATGACGTCCACGTCGTCGCGTCAACTCACCTCCAGACTCCCGCCCGAGGTGAACCGAATACTGTACGTCCGGAACCTACCGTTTAACGTCACGAGCGAGGACATGCACGAGATCTTCGGCAAGTTTGGAGCGCTGAGACAAATTCGTCTGGGTTCACAAAAAAACACAAAAGGCACCGCGTACGTCGTGTACGAGGACATCTGGGACGCCAAGACGGCGTGCGAACACCTCAGTGGGTTCAACGTCGCGAATAGGTACCTGATCGTGATGTATCATCAATCCGCGAGGATGCGGGAGAGCGTGGAAAAGAAACGGGAGGAGACGCGGCGGCTGCAGGAGACGCACGGGGTCACGGGCGACCAGCGATGATGTCGAGCGACGCAGCGCCGTTCGTCGCGATGGAGTCTGTGTGTAGGACGCGTGCGACGCCCGCGAGGCGCGCGAGGCGGGCGGGAGCGTCGACCGCGTCTGTTGTATTATTACGCGAAATTGTCGTCGCCCGCGCGCGACGCGCGACGTCGCGACACATCGAGACGCGCGCGACGCGCGCGATCGCGTGACGCCCGCGACGAACTCGATGGGTCCGACCACCGGGTCGTACCGCGCGTACGTCGCCGGCGATCATTCTGTGGGCGGGCGCGTTGCAGGCGCACGTGTGGTCGCTCCCGGAGCACGACCTGAAGAAACTTCGAGGCGCCGCGGCGACGTCCGCGTCGGCGTCGGTATCGCCCGTGTCGTCGTTCGCGGGACCGTGGATGGGGACGCGCGATGGGGGCTCGGATGGACGGATGGAGCGAGACGGGTGACGACGCGAGCGGGACGCGAGCGGCGACGCGACGGGCGTCCGCGAGATGACGCGCGCGGCGCGGCGCGCGCGACGATGATGGCGATGCCTCGGTGTCGTTTGCACGCGGTGGTGATGCGAGCGATCACGCGCACGTGGTCTTCTTGGACTTGAGCTCGACGACGTATTTGGCCGGGACGCGAGCGTTTTCGAGCTCCTTAATCTTACGCGCGCGGATCATCTCGAGCGTGTCACGCTCGCGACGCGCGCGCGCGCGCTCTTCGGCGGCGTCCGCGGCGGCGCTGAGCTTTGTGCGTCGCTTCGCCTCGTCGTTCGCTTCGATTTGACCGATGACGTGGAGCTTGTGCGCGACGTTCGCGGCTCGGCGCTCGGCGTCTCGTTGACGCTCAGCCTCGACCTGCACCGCGTGTTCGCGACGAACGCGCTCGGCATCGATGCGTTCGAGTTCTTTCTCGCGTTCGCGCGTGCGAACCTTGTCCTCATGCTGGGCGACGCGCGCCGCGGAGAGGTCGAGTAACATTTGGCGTCGCTTGTCGCGTTCAGTCGCCTCCTTCGCGCGCATCGCGCGCTCGTGATCGTCCTGGAGCTTGCGTGCTCGCATGAGATCGCGCTCGGCGCGCCCATCGATGTACTTTTCTTGTAACGAGCGTAAGCGCGCGGTCTCGAGCTCTCTCTCGCGACGTTGCGCCTCCTCCTCCGCGGCTTTCGCGGCGTCTCGCTCGTCCTTCAATCTGAGATACTCCATCGCTCGCTCGTCCGCCTCGCGCTCGGCGCGCTCGACCTCGGCCTTGCGCTTGATCTGTTCACGATTTTCGGCGTCGATTTGTTCGAAGAGCTTGATCACGTCCTCGCGTTTGCGCTGTTTGTCCGCGACGTCCGACGCGATGGCGCGTTCGACGTCCTCCTTACGTTTGAGCGCCTCGCGTTCGAGCTCGGCTACCTCATTCGCGCGGTCGCGTTCGCGCTCGGCGATTTGCTCGCGAATTGTTTCAGCGCCTCTTCGCATCTCCTTTGAGCGCTCGATCTCGCGGATCTCGGCGCGCTTCATGGCGTCCACGCGCTCGCGCTCCATCGATTCATCGAGGCGTCTTCGCTCCTCGTCAGCCTTCAATCGCGCGACGCGCTTTTCCTCAATCTGCGCGTCCCTGGTCATCATCACTTTACCGAACAAAACCATCGAATTCATCTCGCGCACGCCCGGAAGATCGTCCTCGAGCTTCGCCGCAGCCGCGCGTCTCGCCGCGTCGTCCTCGTCCTCTCGAAGCGTCCGCCTCGGTCCGTCCGCCTCCGCGTCCGCAGCCTCCGCGCGTGCGCGCCGCGCCGCCCGCGCCGCGTCTGCGACGCGCATGCGCTCCCGCCGAGCCGTCTCCCGCCGCCTTCGCTCCTCGGCATCGTCCGATGCCGTCGTCACCGTCGTCTCGAGCGCGCCCGCGTCCCACTGTCCACCGGCGCGAAGTCGCATCTCATTCATCTCCGTCGCGCTCACGCGAACCCGCCCGAGGCCGGGCGCCGCGACGCCGCTCGCGCGAGACGCGCGCATCGCCCCGTCCGAGCCTCCACCGTCGCCCCGCGCCGTCCGTCGACGCGCGCGCGCGTCTGTAAAGAATATTTTTAGAAGTGACGGTCCATCTTCAACAACATAAAAAGTCCGTTCGCATCCAGCGCACGACCGTTTGTTCGCCCGCGGCCGCCGCACTCGCGGTCGATCGACGCCCCGCGGCGATGTCGCGCTCGATCGTCGATCACGGCGTGCTGCTCGTGTGGTTGGGGTTGTTCCACGCCCTGGTCGTCGTCGTCGTCGTCGCGATCGTCGCGCTCGAGCGACGACGCGCGATGACGGTGCTCGCCGCGTTGATGTCTTTGAGCGTCGTCCCGCGGCGCATCCGACCGCGCTGGGGCGTGACGCTGGCGCGCGCGATCACGCGCACGGCGAAGTCGTATTTCCCGTGCGCGTTGACGTTTGAGAACGAGGAGGCGTACCTGAAGGGTGCTCGGAAGGGTGTCGGGCGGTTGGTGGGTTTGGAGCCGCACGGAGCGCTGCCGCTCTCGGTGATCGCGTTCGCGGATTACTTCATGTTCGATGAAGATGGGATCGAGGCGAGGGGGATGAATCACGCTGCGTCGATGAATTCGCGAGCGTTGGCGTCGGGGGCGATATTTCACGTCCCGTTGGTGCGACACCTGTGGACGTGGTTGGGATTGGAACCGATATCTCGAAGGCGGATGACGAGTATGTTAAGCGACGGTTCGACGTGCGTGATCGTGCCGGGTGGGGTGGCGGAGTGCATGGCGATGGAGAGAGGGGTTGAGACGCTGTATCTCAAGCGAAGGTACGGGTTCGTGAAGATTGCGATACAGACGGGCGCGGCACTCGTGCCGGCGTACACGTTTGGGCAGACGCGGGCGTACAAGTACTGGCGACTCGGTCCGCCGTTGGTGCCGACGTCCGTTGCAAATTGGTTCTCGAAAACGTTTTCTTTCGCACCCATGGTTTTTTGGGGAAAGTGGTTCACGCCCATTCCGTACGCTACCCCTCTGCACACGGTGGTTGGCGAGCTCATCGAGACCACGCAAAACGACAATCCGAGTCGCGAGGAGGTGCAGGCAAAGCTTGACGAGTTCATCGTCGCTATGCGTTCGCTGTACGACCGACACAAATCTGCACACGGGTATGCCGACGTCGACCTCGTCGTGTGCTGATCGAACGCGATGAAGACGAAAGTGGTACGAATATTTTACAATGGATTGATCCGAACGCCAACACACTAACTGTAATCTGCAAACAAAAACTCCGGGTACCTCTTCGTTAGCGACGCTAAGTTCTCCATCGTCATGTTCGCGATGATCCTATCGTTCTTCTTCACCAAGATCTGGAACTCACTCAGAGAAATGGTTCCGTTTTTGTTCAAGTCGCAGTCCTCAAACGTCTTATCGAGCACCGACTCCGTCATCTCCTTCGTCAGCGACATCGCGCGCGACTGCCTGAGCACCGCCTCGAGCATCTTCCGGACATCCTCCCGATTGATCGCCCCGACCCCTCGTAAATCGTACACTCGAAACGCGAACGCCGTCTTATCCTCGACGCTCGCGTCCGGGTGAAACACGTCTAAACCGACCACAAACTCCTCAAAGCTCACCGTCCCGTCGCCTCTCGCGTCGAAACACGCGAAAATTCGCTCGCTGAACAAATCGCTCGACTTCTCATCGCCCGCGTCGCCGTATAACGCGAGCTGGAACTCCTTGAAGTCGATCTTATCGTCGGATTTGGCCACTCGGTGGAACACGTCCCGAAGGACTCTGATTTGTCCCGAACGGAAATGTGTCTTCTTCAGTAATCGCGCGTCGGCGCGGTCGTGTGAGTCGTCGTCGACGCCACACGCAGCGCATATGGTCATCACTTTCGAAGCGCGAGTCGGGGGAAGACGCGCGTGGGTTGTGAGGGGAAGACGTGTTGATCACGGGTGATTTTCATATTGGGTAACCGACTCTGACGAAGCGACGGCGTCGCGCGAATGTGGCGCGGTGTAATGCTGGTGTTACAGGAAGAGTGCGTCGACGGCGCGGAGGATGGCGTCTAAGATGCCAGCGTTGGCATCGTCGAGAATGGTGTCGTCGACGAGGAGGTCGTCGAGGAGCTCGCCACCGAGCCCTCCTCGAATCTCGGCGAAACGAGTGAAGACGTATTGAGCGGTGATCAGAGCACTGATCGCAGCCGTCTTGGCATTGACCGAGTTGGGTGAGCTCACTGCGGCATCTTCTTTTTGACACGCGTTCATCGTGCTCACGTGCTCGCCTTCGTCGTCTCGGATGTTGCTGAAGACGTCGTACAAGGTGCGGATTCTCGGCCGACGCGTGCGCACCTCCCGCGCGGTTTGAAACTCATCAAATAGGTACAGATCAGCGCCTTCGTAATACTCCACGGCGATTCTCGGTGCGGGCATGGTTTTCAAGAGTTCGGCGTTCTGATCGACGAACTGGGCGTACGTATCAACCGCGTGCGCTTCGATCAATTCTGAAAAATTATACGCCAGCGCAGGCGACATAAACCAAAGCAAAATCAGTACGCCGTAATACACGAGCGCTGCGTGCTGACCCAAGAAGCGATCGCGCCACGACACGTCTCCCCCTAGGGACTCCATGATCAGCAGGTGATGGTACTCGTTCCATTCCTCCGCGAAGTGGATCTTTCGCAGCTCCGCGCCGCCGCGATACCATCCTAGAATTTCGTAAAACGTAAGCGCCGCGGTATAACTGTAATACGGCATCCGCGCCACGGTTTCTAAAAACCAAAACCGTTGAACCGGTTTCGTCTCGTCGAAAAGTTTATCCAACATGAAGCACAACGCGAGATAGGGCGCCTTTAACAGCCAAGGCGCGGGCACCTCTGGACGGTTTTTCTCGCGCTCCCAAATCGCGTCCGAGTCCAATCGCAGCGCCTCCAACTTCACTCGCAACTCTTTCGGCATCGTCGTTCGTCCGTCTGATTCGTCCAAATCCGGATCGATAAACGCCACCATCTCCCGCATCTCTCTCGCAAAATTCTCTGACGCCGTCTGCGCGAACCCCTTCGGCACCTCGTTCCGCGAGACGTCGATGTACACCCCCTTCACCGACGCGATGTACCCGTACGAGCAAAACTCATCCATAGAATCAAACGATTCTTGTTTCCGCGCCAACACCGCCGCGGCGAGCGCCAACTCCGTCGCCGCGAGCTGCTTCCGCTCCGCGCGCGCGCGCTCCCTGAGCTCGTCCACGTTCGTCACTTCCACGATCGATCTACGACCCTCTTCGCTCACCGCGCGGTCGAACGCGTCCGAGACGTCTTCGGGGTACACCGAGGACGTCTTTCGCGCGCCGTCACGCCGCGACGCATCGTCCGGGGACGTTTTCGAGCTCGATGAAGCATCCTTCGATGATTCCACCGCGACCGCGGTCCGTCCTCGCCGAGGACGCCGAGGGCGGATCGAGCGCCTCGAGATCGTCCCGCCCGCGTCCGTGGACCGCTCGACGCGATGCCGCGCGCGCGCGACGCGCGCGACGGCGGCGAGCGGCATGACCGTTACAGACCGACGCGTCGGGAAATGTCGAGCGCGCGTCCCCTGCGCGTCGCTCTCGTCGCCGCGTCGTCCGCGAGACGCGACGATTCGACGACGGGCACGACGAGGCACGCATCGAGCGCGCGAGCGACGCCGTGGACGTGCGCGACGTGCGTCAAGGCGGGATTTCGTGAATCGCTCCTGTTCGCTCGCGCGGACGAAACGCTCGCGTGCGCGCGCGGACACGCGCGCGATCGCGCGCGGAGCGGGTACGTGCACCTGTGTTCGTCGTCAAAGGTGCGGGGGGATTCGCGAGGGCAGCTCCGGGCGCGAGCGAGGTTTTTAGGAAGAGGACGGTACGCGGACGTGAGCGCAGCCGTCGCGGAGGAAGTTTTGAGACGGATCGAGGACGATGTCGATGATGTCGGTGATGCGTCGATCGCGAATGGTGATGGTTCGAGTGGTGATTTGAAAACGGTCGGTGACGATTTGGACGCGTGCTCGGGCGCGGAGGGGGGGTCGCGCGCGACGCCGTCGACGCCGCGCGCGAGACGGTTGGCGAAGAAGCGGCGGCCGCGAGAAGTCAAGTCAGGGCATCACGAGCGCCCAATCACTTCCCGAGATACTGATGGGGTGCGACCGACGGTGACGCCTTCGCGGGCGTTGAGAGTGGGTGATTTTGGGTGCGGGGAAGGGTATTACGCCGACGTCGTGCGAGCGATGGCGAGAGACGGCGGAGCGGTGAATTTGGAGCTGCTCGCGATGGACGCCTCAAAGGACGCGTGTGATTTCACCGCGCGACGGTTGGGTCGTGATGTTCACGTCGCTGTCGTGGATTGCTCGAGAAGTCTCCCGCTGGAGGACGCGTCGTTGGACGTGGCGATGAGCGTGTTTGCGCCGAGGTCGCCAATCGAGCTCGCGCGCGTACTTCGCCCGGGTGGACGCGTCGTCGTCGCTCGAGCGAATTCAGATCACATGTCGGAGCTTCGCGAAGTGCGTGGTGACGGTGTTGTGGTTCTCGGCGTCGAGAAAGACAAGGGTGAGCGCGTGGATAGCGCAATGCGCGACGCAGGATTTGAGATTGAGAGCGAACGTGAGATTCGGCAGACGATGTCGCTTTCCGAAGATGACGTCGTCGACTTAATCTTCATGGGTCCGTCTGGGCACCACGCTGAGAGCGAAGACGCAGTGCGCCGCGCCGTGGGCGGCGTTACGCGTGAGGTGACGAAATCAGTCGTGGTGACTGTGTACGCGCTGCCAAAGTAGTAGGAACCATGTAGCACCGTAGAGGGTAGGCACGTTAGCACCGTAGAGCAGACATACTTCATCGATGCCGAATAAATGAATAGTTCGTCGTGTATTACATGCAGCTGAATCGTTCGACTCTTTCATTGGCCAGTGATGCTCGCTGATGCGCGGATTATGATGTGCGCGGTGTACTCTTCGAAGGCAATGCCGTAACGACGCAACCTACGCATGATCTCACCGTGGATCACGCGCCCACCCATGCTATGTTTGCCTCTCCCCGTGATGAGCTTCATCGTCCAATCGCTCGTCAACATCGGGGCGCAACTGATCAATTCGCGCTCAAGGTACGCGATGGCGGACATGCGATCGTATCCGTGGAAATCAAGGACGCGGTTATATCTGGCGTCAACCTCTGGCTCAGGCTCGTCCGAGGCTCGACCCAGGTCCTTGATGGCTTCTCGAAGGATAATTTTCTGTTGAATCTTCTCAGCCGCCTCTCTATCACCGCGATCGCGTCGCAACTTCAGACGAGCCAACTCCTCGGAGAGGTCTCTGAGACGAGAGTGCTGCCAGGACGCTACCTTCGAATCCTTAGCATACTTCCTGGCGCGAACCGTCTCCGCGCCCGGGCCTTGGAGCGTCCGCCACCGCCGCGCGGCGAGACCGACCTCGGTACCGTTGTTGTAGTTCGGACGAAGATTGCTATGCAACGCCGCGCCGCCAGCGAACAATGCGCGCTTGACCGCGTCTGCCTGTTCGTTGTTCCGCGCCTCCTTTCGTCGCGCCTCCTCTCTTCCTCGCGCCTCGTTCCGCGCCTTCCAATCGTCTAGCATACCTTGGTTGAGTGATATGTCCACGGCTTTTCGCTCTTGCATCGCGTGCTTCTTGTCGTCCGTGACGAATTCGTTCTCGTAATCTTCCTCGTAGTAATCTTCCTCTTCATAATCATCATAGTAATCGACTTCGTCGCAAAAGCCTTCCGTGTCCAGTGTCATCTGCGTCAAGAGATCCTGTGCCGTCTTCTCCATGTCAAAACCGTGCTTCACGAACGTCGTCTTCACCAACTCCGGATGATGCACCTCGAACATTTCGCACAGCTGAAGATATTCACGCCGAATCTTATTCTTCTTCTCTTCCTCATTCAGCTCCCTTCTGCTCGACGACGGCCCCGGTTGCTCCCTCATCGGTGGCGTCTCCGCTGTTCGCACCGCGTACTCCGAACCCATCGAAGTCGCTCGCGACGCCGCCGTCTCTCGCCCCACGCTCAGCTCGGCCTCACACGGCGACTCCAATCCAACCGGCCGCGTCCCCGAACTCTCCTCCTTACTCTCCCCCCCATCCCAATCGTCTTCACCGAAGTAAATCGCCCCGTTACGAAACTTCACTCCCAATCTCACCTCCAAATCCAAATCTTCACCGATCGCCGCTAAATCCAACGCGTTTCCGTTCGCGTAATCCTCCGCCGCCAACCGTCCTAAATCGCTCCACGCGTCCTCCGTCGGGCAGAAAACACTCACGTGCGGGTACGCGCTCGTCGGATACGGCACCAAGCTCGGCAACAAATCCATCGAAACACACAGCACCAAGCTCTTCTCCCGCGCGCACGCGTGCGTCGCTCTCACCCGCATGTCGTCCATCCCGCGCGCGTTTCGCGTCAAAGCCATGCACGTTTCCAAATCATCTCCTTCCGGTTCGTACAGCAGCGTCACGTGATCTCCGGCGCGCTTCGTCCCGGGGGGTTCACACGACGTTCCCACGAGGTCTTTCACCGCGCGCCACACCGCGCGCTGGGCCTCGTCCGTGAGAAAGAGACCGAAGAAGTGCGCCGGTGGGTGGACCGACATCGACGTGCGCGTCGTGCACTGACGTCAGTGCGCGACGTTCGACGCGTGCGCGCGCGCGTGCGACGCGCGTGGACGCGTCCAGTGGTGTCGCACGCGCGCGCGTGACGTCCACCGCGTGCGCGTGCGCGGGGGGGGCGAAACCGGGAAGATTCGCGTCGGATTGGAACCGTTCGCGTCACAGAAATCAACATCGACGAACGATTCGTGACGCCCGGAGCGGTCGCGGACGGACGCGAGCGAGGTCATGTTGCGTCGAGAGCAGTTGGTGTTCCTGGCGGCGGTGTTAGTGGGCGCGTACGGCGTCGATCGAGGGGTGACGGCGCTCGCGTGCGCGGCGGTGGCGTATTACGTCGTGAGGTGCGCGGGGATGGACACGCGACGCGAGCTCGACGTGCGGGACGGTGAGACGCGGAACTGACGAATGTCGCGATTCCCACGAGTGTGCGTAGGTTTTTCTTGCTCAAGCGCGCGATTCGAGCGATTCGGCGATTGAAAGAGCTTCGCGAGGCGGCGTCGCGGCGCTCGAATGAGCTCCGAGACATGTTGCTGGAGGAGTACAAGATTCGGGCGTTCCAGAGCGTGTCGCTGAAGCTGTTCGATATGCCTCGACAACCTCGACGAATGCGACAGGCGGTGAAGATTTGGCGAGATTATCGAATGCAGACGAAACTGAAGGCGCGTTTGAAGGATATTCGAGGCGACGGTTTGAGCGCTCTGCACAAGACAGAGGAGGATCTGCAAGAGGCGATGTCGGCGCACGGTTTAGCGTCGAACTCAGCGCGGGGTGAGAGTGATTTGATCGCCGATCCCACGCTGGATGCGATGCGCGCGTGCTCGGTGTGTCGAGGGATGAGCCCGGCTGCTTTGGAGACGCTGCGTGGCAAGGCGAAGACGGTGGTCGTTCGAGCTCGAGAGCGATCGAGCACGTTCGAGCGGCGTGACGCGCTCGTGATTTTGGTTGACGGTGAGGTTGAATTGACGGGTCAGATTGAGGCGAGCGCGGAGGAGGAGATTCACGGACGAGGATCGATGTCGACGCGGTGCTCGCGTCCTGGAACGTGCCTGAATTCTTTCATGGACATTTTAGAACACGTTCCCACGGATGCGCCAGCGGAGGACGTGACGAATGAGAACACCGAGCCGAAGCCGAACGTGAATACGTACGAAAATGCGACGAGCGAAGCCGGCGACGATGACGAGCGCGTGCGCGTGCGTTTGATGGTAAGTTCTGAAGACGAGACGCCGAAGAGGCGAGATCGCGCGCGCGTCTTCGTGCGCGGAGCTCATCGAGGATGCGTCTTGGCGGTCGTGAGCATGACGGACTATCACGAGTGCGTCGGATTCACGTTAGGAACGCAGGGTATCGCGTTGAGACTCGCTGGGGGATTCGCGGCGGTGTGCAAGTATCTCGACATGATGTCAGATATGAAAGCGCTTTGGGTGCACGAGAGAGAGAGCCGAGACGTGCGCTCACCAAGCAACGATGTGGAAGAGCCGCTCGCGTGTGATACCGCCCTGGCGCGATTTCTCGATAAAGATGTGGCGAACGACATCGACACCAGCGAGGTCATCGCTGCTTTAGAGCGAAATGGATACAGAAAGCGCACGTCGGTGAGCGCGGCGAAGAAGATCGGCGGGTTCTTCTCCAGTCGCGAGCAGAAATCCGTCTCTGCAGGGGACCCCAAATCGTTGTCGAGCATTACCATCGAGGCACGAGTGATTCCGGGCGGTTCGGTGGTGTTACAACAGGGTGCGTCGCCGGTGGCGCTCATCGTCGAGCGCGGTTCGCTGGAGGCTTACTCTGGGTCGACGGCACTCGGCGCGCGCGGCTCTCCACGCAGACCTCCGCTACCAAACTCACCTCGACGATTGAATCGAGCGTCCGAGGCGCCGATTTTCACCGCGTCTGTCGGAGACGTCGTCGGTTCTCACTTACTTCTAATCGGTCAGCGAAGCGGTTTAACCATTCGAGCCGGCGCAAGCGGCGCGGTGGTGGCTTTACTTCCCATGAGCGCTCTCGCACGACTAGGTCGAGCTCATCCGCACGTAACTCGTAAGATCGCGGTCGAACTCGCGCGTCGCTTGCGAGAGGCGCCAAGCTCATTCATTTGGGATCGATGCGGGACGGAAATGGAAATGCTCGAGGCTGGCGAGGCGTTATCTCACCGAGAGGGCGGCGTGCACATTGTCGTGACCGGAAGCTTGCGCGAACAGATGGAGGAACCGAGCCTGCATCGGGCGAACTCGTCGCACAACATGTTCAAGTGGCGAAAGTCCAAAAGCAGCAAGATCTCTGGCGTTGCTTCCACGTTATCGGCGCCGGGTTTGGCGGTGAATCCCGGAGAGGCGACCGGGGAAGACTCGGTGCTCATGGAATCCACGGCTGCACGTCCTGTCGCGACAATGCCTCGATCAAGACGCCCGTGCTTGACCGGCGGACCGGTCCCCAAGTTTGTCGCGCGCGCAGTCAGAGACTCACAGGTTGTTTGGGTCTCAGCTGCGGGATTAGACACTCTCGCGTTAGCCGCACCGACGACGTTCGTGCGGCTAGCTCGCGGCTTGGGCTTGCGTCAGGCGAATCGAGGCATAGCAATGTCAACCTCGCACGGTGCACCCACAATTCCGGGACTCAATCTCTCGCACAAGCCGTCTGGCGCGCCAAAGGTTGTCTCCGTCATTCCCGTCACCGAAGGCGCCGCCGTGCACTTGGACGAGTTCTGTTATTCCTTGGCATTCGCTCTCAGCAAGGTGTGCCGCGCAAGGACGGTGGATTCGGCGTGCCGATTGGCCGAGCTCGGACAAGCCACGGTGGGTCCGCTTTCGCAAGAGGCAACCGCACACTGGCTCTCGCAGCTCGAATCGGCGTATGACGTCGTGATTTTGAAGGGTGATCCGTTCCCTTCGCCTTGGTGCGCGCAGTGTGCAAGGCACAGCGACACCATTTTGCTCGTCGCGAGCGCAAGCGATCAACCGCCGACTGCAACCGAGGGTCAGACGTTGCAGGCCCGTTTACTCCACGGTCAGGGTGACACGCAACTCCAGCGCGTCTTACTTGCTCAGCGTGAGCTCGTTTTGCTGCACCAAGACGCCGAAGTGACGCCCGACGATACCAAGTCCTGGCTCACGGCATTCAGCGTCCAGAGGCATCATCACATCGCCATGCATCACGCCTCTGGGCTCATCCCGTCGCACGCTGCGCGTCTCGCTCGATCGCTTCGCGAACTCACTGTTGGTCTCGTCCTGGGCGGCGGTGGCGCGCGTGGTTTGGCCCACGTCGGTGTGCTCGCAGCGTTGGAGCAGGAGGGAGTGCCCATCGACGCCGTCGGTGGCACGTCAATCGGCGCCATGGTCGGCGGCATGTACGCGCGAGATCCGAGCGCACTTCTCGTACGCGCCATGGTCACAAAATTTGCCAAGGAGATGTCCAGCGCCTGGGGACAATTCATGGACTTGACGCTCCCGGTCGTGAGTTACTTCACGGGCTGGGGCATGAACCGATCTCTCAGTCTGGTGCTCGGCGAAACGAAGATTGAAGACTGCTGGCTGCCGTTCTTTTGCTGCACGCTCGACTTGATCTCGTGCATGCCGATCGTACATAGAAATGGTACGCTGTGGCGATATATCCGAGCGAGCATGGCCCTCGTTGGATTCCTTCCGCCCGTGTGCGACACCGAACAGGATCGCGAACAGAGCATGCACGTGCTCGTCGACGGCGGATACGTGAACAACCTTCCCATCGATGTCATGCGCGCGCTCGGTGCGCACTACGTCATCGCCATCGATGTCGCCGGTGAGGGATTGGACGGACAAAAGCTCGTGCCCTGGGGCGATGGTATCAGTGGGACGTGGTTACTTCTTCGATCGCTCCTTCCCCGATGGCTCGGCGGCGGGCATCGCATTCCAACCATGGCTGACATGCAAGGCCAGCTCCCGTTCGTCACCGATACGGTGAAGCATCAGACGCGTTTGGAGGACATCGACGTGTACGTCCGTCCCGCCGTATCGCACGTCGGTATCTTGGAGTTCGCGAAGTATAACTCCATCATCCGGCTCGGCTACGAACACGGATTGAAGATGGTTAGAGAGTGGAAATCGGAAAATCCTGAGGTGGCGCTCTTGCTCGAACAAGGCTCGCAAATCCGAGGCGGGCTCACGGCGCTTCAAAAGCCCCGTCGATTGCTCCATCCGAGCGCGAACAACTCTCGAGAATCGATTGCCTCTGAATCCGTCGATGACGCGACGAGTCCGGACGATACCAGCCCGCAGCTCATAACCGCCGCTGATTTCTCAGATGACGACGATTTCTCCTCGTCAACCGCTCGATTGCTCCTGAGAACGAATTCACTGGCGTCCACCGATCCGACGTGGACCCCGGCGCCGAAACAGAAACGACGAATAGACGCGCAGGACGCGGCGATGTAGCCGCCGCCGCGCTTTGTATTGTATGACGCACACTTTTACTTCCGCGCTCTCGCGACGTCGCGCTCGCGCCGCGCGCGACATTCATTCTTTGAAATTTAAAACATTCCAAAATCGCTACGACTGGGCGTCCACTAACTGTACGGCTTATTCGACGGCGGAAGTTCTCCGCGCGCGCGCGCGGCGTGCCACTTCCCCTCAAAGTGTTCCTTCCTCTGCGTCTCACTCGTGAACATCTTCCGACACAGCTCGCAGTGCGGTCCCGGGGGCGGTTTCACGTACCGTCGCCCACCACCACCGCTCGCACCGTCTCCACGCCTTCCCGACGCGTTTCGCGTCGTACTCGCGTGTTTCTTCCCGCGAAGGTGCTCCGCGTACTGCGCGTCGCTCGTGAAATCCACCCCACACGCCGCACACCGCGGTCGATCCGCCCGTTTCGCCAACCGTCGCTCCAGCGCGGTCCTCGGTTCGCTCGCGGGCGCCGTGGAGCCGCCGTCGTCGCCGCCGCGCCGCGCGCCCAGAAACCGTCCCTCGCCGCGGCGTCCCCCGTACCCGTTCCCTTCCGGCAACAACGACGCCGGTAACGGCGCGAGTCTGGGCAAATCATCCAGCGCCAGCACCGCCGCCGTCGCCGTCGTCTCGCGCGCGCGTTTTCGCGTCGTTTGCGCGTCGTCGTCGTCGTCGTCGTCATCATCATCATCATCATCATCATCATCGTCGTCTCGCGCGCGCACCGACGCCTCGCCGCCGTCGTCACCGCGCTCGAGCGCGCGTAACGACGCCTCCGCGCGCTCGAGCGCGGCGTTGACGTCGTTGAGCGACATCCCGCCCGCGTCTGCCGCGACGTCATTGCGATGCACGCCACGCCATCGACCGAGCCGCCGCCGCGCGACACGTACACCGCGCGCGGTCTGCGCTACGCCCGCGCGTACGACGCGCGATGCCTCCATCGCGTGCGCGCGTCGCGGGACGGGACGACCGTGCTCGAGGTGTTGGAGACGCAGGTTGGCCGGTTCGCCGGGCGCGCGCGCGAGGGCGTCGGCGACGACGGCGTCGATCCCCGGTGGACGCGCGCGCTCGAGCTCGATCGCGTGCGCGTGCGCGAGAGTGCGACTGGGGCGTGGACGCGCGCGTCGCTGGACGCGCGCGTGCGGACGGGGATGGTGATCGAGACGACGCGACACGTGCACGAGCGGGCGACGGCGGCGGCGACGCCGCGGGTGGTGTTCGAGCGCGACGACGGAACGGGGATCGTTGGGGTGGAGAAACCGGGAGGGGTGCCGGTGCTCGCGGGTGTGAGCGCGCCGGGGGTGTCGGGACGGTTGAATTGCGTGGCGTTGGTGTCGGCGAGGCGACGACGGGAGGTCGAGGCGCGGCGGGCGACGACGGACGAGACGACGTCGAAACGCGCGCGCGTGGACGATGGCGCGGACGATGGCGCGGACGATGGGCGCGTGTGGGCGGTGAATAGATTAGATGCGCCGGTTTCTGGGGTGTGGCTGTGCGCGACGAGCGTCAAGGCGTCGCTCAAGGCGAGGGAGTGGTTGTCAAAGCCTGGTACGTCGACGAAGACGTACCTGGCGCGCGTGAGTAAAGGGTCCGCGCTGACGACGCCCGACGGGGGATTACGCATCGACGCGCCGCTGTGGAAGAATGCGAAGACGTCCGTGGCCGAGCTGAGACCCGAGAGCGAGGGTGGGAAGCCGTGCGCGACGCGCATTTTTCTGTTGGAGCGTTTCGAAGACGACGACACCGCGCTCGTCGTCGCTCGACTCGAGAGTAACGGAAGGTATCACCAGATACGCGCGCACCTTGGATCGATCGGGCATCCGATAGCGAACGACGCGACGTACAACGACGACGTTTCGGCGGACGACGAGACCTCGTTCGCCGGTCGAGCGTACGACGACGACGAAAGCGGCACCATCGCCGCCGCGCTCGCGGCGGATCGAGATCCGACGTGTCCCGAGTGCGATGCCCTCATCGCGCTCACCGCGTCGAAAGATCGCTCGCGCAAACCCCTCGCGGCGAAGATCATCTGGCTCCACTCCCTGCGATACCAGTTCGTCGTTCGAGACGTCGCGTTCGACATTCGAAGCGACTCGATCCCAGCCTTCGCTCGACGACCGCCCGATCTCTCCGTCGACGACTTCATCGCCCAGCTCCCGGACGCTTCGTGAGATTCCACGCACGACGGGCGTCCTCGAGCGTCGGATCCATCCACCGATCGTCCCTCGTCGTCCGCGTCGCGTCGTCTCGCCGACGCCGCGCGATGCGCCGTGTGTACAATACTCCCTAGAATACAACTACAATACGACTCGCCCGAACCCTCGGATTCCCATATAATACGTCTAAAAACACCAAGCCGCCACGCGCGACGCCGTCACAATCCCGCGCGCGCCGATGTTCGGCGCCGATCGCGGTTTCGTCGACGCCGGCGCCGCCGTCGACGCCCGCACCGTGTTATGTTGTCTCTGCGGCGTCGGCATGCGCCCGAACCCGAGCGGGATGTGCGTCGAGTGCGTGAGAACCCAAGTTGACATCACCGAGGGCATCAGCAAGCAGTGCGTCGTGACGTACTGCTCGCAGTGCGAGCGATACCTCCAACCGCCGAAACACTGGATCCGAGCGGACTTGGAATCGAAGGAGTTGCTGACGTTTTGCATCAAGCGAATCAAGGGATTGCAAAAAGTGAAGCTCGTGGACGCGGGGTTCGTGTGGACGGAACCGCACAGTAAACGCCTGAAGACGAAACTGACGATACAAAAGGAGATCATGGGAGGGGCGATCTTGCAGCAGACGTTCGTGACGGAGTTCATCGTGGAGTGGCGGATGTGTGACGCGTGCGCGCGAACGGCGGCGAATAGTGATCAGTGGAACGCGTGCGTGCAGGTGCGACAAAAGGTGGAGCATAAGCGGACGTTTTTGTTCCTGGAGCAGATGATCTTGAAGCACGGGATGGAGCGGGACGCGATCGGGATCAAGAGTCAGCCGGATGGTTTGGATTTTTATTACGCCCATCGCTCGCACGGTTTGAGGTTTGTGGATTTTTTGGGGAACGTGGTTGCGACGCGGTCGAGGGACGATAAACAGTTGGTGTCTCACGACGCAAACTGTAACACGTACAATTATCGGTTCACGTTCATGGTCGAGATCGTGCCAGTGTGTAAGGAAGATGTCGTCGTACTTCCGTTGAAGCTATCGAAGGAGTTCGGTCTCGTCGGTCCGGTGATGCTTTGCACGCGTGTGTCCAACACGCTGCAGTTTACGGATCCGGTGACCATGCGTCCCATTTGGCTCGACTCTGAAAAGTACTGGCGGTATCCGTTCCGGCCCATCGCGTCGGCGAAGCAGATGATTGAGTACGTCGTTCTCGATGTCGAGGTCGATCACTCGACGCGACAGGGTAAGCTCGTGATGGCGGAGGTTGAAATTGCGCGTTCAAGCGATTTTGGCGTCAACGACACGACGTTTCGGGTCAGGACGCATCTCGGAAATATCCTGCAAGCGGGCGACACGGCGATGGGTTACGATCTCGCCAGCTTGCAAATAGTCGATCCGGAGCTCGAGAAGTACTCGGGTAAGCATCGAGCCTTCGTCCCGGAAGTGATATTGGTGAAGAAGTCGTACGCCGAGAGCCGACGCAGAAAGCGCGAACGCGGCGTGTCCAGACCGTGGCGTTTGCAACGTATGCAAGTGGAAGAGGCTGACGATGCTCCAAAGAATCGTGGCGAAGATCGCATGGCGCAAGACGAAGAGCAGTTCTTCCAAGAATTGGAAGAAGACGAGGAGCTGCGTGCGCAGGTGAGAATTTTCAAGGATGAACAAGCAATAAACGCCAATACGTACATTGCTGGTGCAGACGACGATGACGACGACGCACCCGAGGTGCCGATCGAAGAATTGCTCGACGAGCTCACGCTAGCGCGTCGAGGGGATGGAGACGAGGAGGAAGAAGATCTCGACTCAATGCAGGAATAAAGCGGGATTTGCGTTTAATGTACATTTTAGTAGTGAAGCCTTCACGTAAATCGTGTCCAATCTGAAATTCATCTAGAACTTATTCATCGCTGATATATTCCATGTCGTCTTCGTCATCCTCCAACCACGTGTCAACGTCCTCGTCCTCGTCCTCCTCCCAATCGCCGTCGCTGTCCCACTCCGGGTCGTCCACATCGTCGTATTCTGTGTCTCGACTTTCCGTCATGAAAATGTCTAACAGGGATGACGGGTGCGCAATGACCTTCAGTGTTTTTATGTTCTTCTCGTGGTCGCACTCATTATCATGCTCTATCATCTCCGTCGGAAACGCGTGCTCATCAAACTCGCCCCAGTGTTCTGCCGTTCTCACATAGGTACAAATATTGTTTGCGGTGTTTTGCACCGTGTCTACGTCGCTCGCCAACGCCTCGGGAATGTACTCAGCAAAAAGATGTTTAGGAATATTTCGCACGCCAAACCGTTTCGCTTCGCTGGATCGGATTTTGCCGTAGCACGTCTTGGAGATGAAGACCAGCGCTCTCAATCGAGTCTCCATGCTGCTGTTGTGCAGGGCCCACTTGAGATCTTCACTCCTGCTCACGATCGTCGCCGCCATTGCGACGGCGCTTTCAGCTGTGGTATCTTCCGGAACCGCTATGAGCTCGCGAATCGCCTTTAACGCGGCGTCCACGCGATTGGACCCGCTCGTTTCCACGAGCGGCGGATACTCTCTCTTCTCAATAGACTTTCCAAACCAATCCCATCCGACGTGCTTATTGAAGATATGCATCAGTACGTCCTCGTGCAGATTCTTCAAAGCGCTCCTTTGATCGCGCAAACCGAGGAGCATGACGTGAACGACGTCTCGAAACTCTTTCGGAAACCGCCCGTGCGTCTCCCGCTCGGGCAGCCACAGTTTCCACCGCACCCCGTACGAGACCCGCCCCACGAACCGTCGATCCTTCCTCAGACTCGACACCGTGTGCGGCATCTCCCCGTACCACGGCGCCGCCGTATCGAACGGCTGTTGACCAAGATGCGCGTACCCACTATAAATCTGTAAGAATCCGTCGCACTTTGGCCTTCCCAACAAATCTCTCTCGTCGTCGTACACCAATCCTCGATCTCCTCGATCATCCGCGTGCACGTACACCTCGCACCGCTCCCCATTCTTCAACACGATCGGTTCGTTCAATCTCAGCTCGACCAAGCGATCGAACGACGGTTGCATCTCCTCGTCGAATATCGGCGTCCCCCACGCCTCGCGCGTCAACAACCGTCGCGCCGTCGCGTCCGAGCTCGCGTACGTTCCGAATCGTTCCACGCTGTCAGCCTTACCCGGCATCGCATCACGCGTCCTCGGTTCGACCGCCTTGGCGTAGACGCGCGTGCGGCCGAGATCACCGCGAACCCAGAGGGATTGAATCTCGAGTGAATTCACTGGCAGCGCCGAGTCACAGCCGAGGGCGAAGAAAATACCGCTGAACGAGTGATCCTCGCGATCTTCGGTGACGGTCTCGAAGGCGCTGAAGAAGAGATCGTCCGCGGCGCGGGCGAGGGGGGGGAGGGGCATGATCGAACGCGCGATGGGAAGTGCGGACGCGCGGCGCGGCGGGACGGCGGACGCGCGGCGCGGCGACGGCGCGCGCGATGGAATCGAAGCGAACGATGACCGTGGATGCGCTGAATGTACAGATTATATTATAGAGAATAGAGAATAGATTCACGGGGTGTCGGTGAGCGGGGCGGGGGTGCCCGATGTCGAGGGAGCTTCGGACGCCGAACCGACGTTTGGCCTCACCGATGGGTTTCGCGAACCCTTCTTCGCGGGGGATTTCATCGACGCACGCTTGAGCTTGTCCACCTTGGCGCGCAAGAGTTCGTCCAGCTTAGACACGTCCTTGGGATCTCGAAGCGGCGGAACCTGATGGTTGACGTGGCACACCTTTATCTTGTACCCTCTCTCCAGCGCGTTGAGGGCGTCGATATTTTCAATTCGACTCAGCGGCGTATCCTCTTTTTGCTCGTTCCCCGTCATTCGGAGGTAGACGGCGTCAAAGCACGTCGCCTCGACGATGCCCCAGGACCAAGCCTGGAAATCGCGAGCGATCGCGCGCTTGGTCGGCGTCGACACGTCGACGAGCTCACCGTTTCGCGCCTCTCCGTTGACCGGTATCGCCGCGCGACTGATGTACATGGCGAACCCGTTGACGTCCTCCACGCAGCGCGGTCGAATGCACTCGGCGTTTCGCTCTTCACCCCCGCTTTCTCGCCCCGCCGGATCGATCGCGGTGACGCACGAGGACATGACGCACATCTCGTCCACGTTTGTCTCCATCTCGCACACGCACGCGTCGATGGAATCCGCGTCCAACAGGCACTCCTCCACGTCCACGACGCACACGTAATCCCATCCACCACCCGTCGCCTTCGCCGCCTCTCGCGCGTACACCGTGGACGTCCTCGCCACCTCGGGCGCCACGAGCACGGTTTCGATTCCGTACTCCTTCGCCGTCTCCGCCACGCGATAATCATCCGTCGCCACCACCACCCGTTCAATCCGCGTGCACCGCTTCATCGTCTCCGCCAATCGCGCGAACGCCGGTTTCCCGTGTATCAACGCCAGCGGCTTTCCTTCGTACCGTCCATTCCGATCGACGCGCGGCGCGTGCGCGACGCCGAGCACGAAATTCGTCCGCAATCCTCGCGTCTTCACCCGTCTCGTCCCCGCGGATGATCTTTTGACGTCGTTTTGCGCGTCATCCGATCGCGTGACATCCGCGTCGTCGCTCGTCTCCGTCGTCGTCCCCGCGAGGCGTCGCGCGCGACGGAACTTGTCGAAATTCCTTCGAGCTCGTCGGGCGCGCGTTCTGAATGCGCGATCGTTTATCGACGCCTCGTGATCCGTCTTCGCGAACGCGACGGCGCCGACGCCGAGGGCGAGGACGGTTCTCCATCGCGCGGCGATCGCGCGCGCGACGGATACGACGATGACGTCGAGGGCGAGTGGGAAACCCATGGGTGGCGGCGCGGCGCGCACTGCGGATGACGGCGTCGGGACGGGTGGCGGATGACGGGCGAAGACGCGCGTTACACGGACGCGTGGGCGGGCGAGCGTCAGATTGAGAGCTCGCCGATGTCGGGTAAATAGAATTGGCGGATTCTGCAGTAGACGGTGAGAAAGATGGAGATGGCGGGACCCCAGTATAAGACGCGCTCCTTGGCGCCGACGAAAAAGCCGGAGACGCCGCCGGCTTCGGCGAAGACGCCTCGCGCGGTTTCTATGGCGGACATTCCCGGGGTGTCGGCGGCGAGACCGGCGTCTGCGATGGCTTTGCGCTCGTTGATCATTCTGGTGACGACGACGTCGACGGGGGTGGTGACGAAGGCGCCGACCATGCCGCCGAAGGCGCCGAAGAGAGCCTCGGTGACGGGCGCCTCGGGATCAATCGCGGTGATGCTGAAGAAGACGAGCAAGAGTTTGAGGTACTCGAATATGGCCAATTGGACCCCACCGAACGGGATATCGCGAAATAACACGATTTTCCACACCTTGAATAAGTTCTTCCTAGCCGACGGTGACGTCACGTTGGTCTCCAGAGCCTCCTGGACGGACATGCCGACTTGCGTGCCGTTCTTCACCGCCTCTGCGGGGAGTCGGAATATCGAGGCGAAGAACTCACCGATACCGCCCGCGACGAGGTATACGAGGATTGGATGCGCTTTGCCCTCGTCGAATTGCATCAACTGCTCGCGCACTGATTCGTAAATCCCGAGATATAACGCGAGCGGTAGGCCCTCCTTGAAGAGATTCGGTACTAATCCGTCGTAGAGCGACAAGAATCCACCCTCACCCACGACTTCGTCCCAGGTCGGTTCGAAGTCAGTGTCCCAATCCTCATCGAACGACGCACTACTCTTCGCCTTGGACTGCCTCAGCGAGATCTGTCGCACCTTGATCGTGTCCAGCGGGTGCATCGCGCTGTTGCTCACCAGACTCGCCATCAGAGCCGCGCCGTACACAATCACCGGCGACTGCGCCCCCAACCTCAAAAACAACACCTTTCTCTCCTTTAAACGTCTTTGCAACGCCGCCTCCGTCGCTCGTTTATCCACCAATCGTCTCTTTTGATCACTCAATCGCGCGTACGCGTCGCTCTCTGAGAACTCGTTAAACGTCTCGTCCAAATTTCTCGCCGCCAGCAGAGCCATCTCCGCGTCCACCTGCTCCAGCGCCTCCTCATCCACCAACGACAACGCATTCAACTCTTGCAACAGCACATCGATGTTCCCTCGCGTCAACACCGCCGTCTTTCGTCGTCGCGCCGCGTCGTCCAGCCGCAACAAGTTTTCCAGTTCCACCCCGCGCTTCGGGTTATACAGCACCCCCGACGACGCGCTCCCGAACCCCTCCGCCAGCGCCGGCGCGTGCGCGGCGCTCAGCATCACCGCCACCGATGCGACGCCAGAGACCACGGCCGCGGTGAGTCGTTCTCGAGCGAAGATTTTTTCCTCATCGTGACGTGGATAGCTCGGTGTGGACACGTCACGATGACATCTCGCGCGCCGACGACGCCGCGCGGGGGCGGACGAGGGATCGGATGCGGTGTGACGCGCGGTGGTGGACGCGCGGACGCGCATGCGCGAGCTCGACGGCGCGCGGGGACGGTGTGAGCGACGGGAAGTGACGCGCGCGCCCGCGGGCGAGTGTGGCTTCGCGCGCGGGACGGCGCGGCGACGCGCGCGCGAATGGCGGACGTGGGAGAGACGCGCGGTGCGATGTTAAATGAATGTATGTGAAAGAATCATTGACGCGAGGCTAAGGATGCGCGCACGGCGTCGCGAATCGCTTGGGCGTTGGCGTCGATCCACTCGACGCGGGCGGCGTAGTTGTCGGCGCGGAGAGCGAGTTGAGAGATGTCGTCCTCGCCCGCGACGGAGCGAGCGACGAAATAGACCACGGTCTCGAGGACACGAAGTTTGATGAGGTCCGGGATGGCGTCGATCTCGGCCTCCGTCGGCGTTGCTCGACGGCAAAAGCCTTTGATGTACGACTGAACGAACGGCATCGGGTCCTTCTCGCCGACGTATTTTGAGAGTCCGGCGGCGCACTCCATCATGCGCCAGTCGTACGAGGCGAACTCGAAATCGATTATTCCCGTCACTTTACCCGTGTTTTCGTCCACCAGAGCGTTATCGTAGTGCACGTCGCCGTGAATCAAAGTCTCCGGTAAACCACCCGCGGCTTCAATGGCGAGCAACTTTTCCTCGAGCGCGCGGATGTAATCCGCCAATCGCGTCACCGCCGGCCGGACATCGTCCAAGCCCGAGTTATTCGCCATCTCCGCGAAAAAAGCCTCGCGCGACCCCCCCTTGGCGACGAACGCGCCGAAGATGTCGCGATACACGCTCGTGGGCGACGTCGGCGCGATCGCCCGAACGTCCCCCTCACACGCCTCCAAGCACTTCGACAGCGCCGCCGTGGCCTCACCCACCGCATCCGCATACCGCGTTTTCGGCAGCGTACCCGGAATCAACTCGAACACGCTCGCCGCGTCGCCGCTCGGCAAAATCTTAAACGTATCGCCGCTCCCGTCCCGCGCCCGCAGCGCCCTCGGGACGACGAATCCCAAATCACACGCCGCCACCAACGGCTCCACCGCAAGCAGCACCGCGTGTTCGAACGCCACCCGCGTCGTCGCCTTGCCGTTGTTATACACCCGCGCGACGTACGTTCCGCTCGCCGCGTCCGCGTACCGCACGTGATTATTCACCCCCCCCGTCGTCTCTCGCAGCGTCACCGCCGTCGTCGCGCTCGGGATGAACGTCTCGCACGCCAGTCGCAACTCCGCCGCGTTCGCCGTCGCGGTCGTCGTCGTGGAGACCACCGCGCTCGCGATCGAGGGCTCGGCCATCGCGCGAACGCGTCGGCGCATCCATCGCCCGCGCGCGCGCCTCACCGCGCGCTCGGCGGTGCGATCGACGCCGGTCGACGCGCGGGACATCGCGAGGGCGATCGCGCGGCCTCGCGCGGCCTCGCGCGTGGTGGCGCGATGGGAGCGACGCGTCGATGGCGTCGACGCGTGTCGATGGGCGTGACGATGTGTGTACAATGGACACAGTATGGACACAGTCCCCGTCGCGGGACGATGGCGCGCGACGCCGCGCGAGGACGCCGCCGACGATGGCGCCGACGCCTCGTCGCGGTGCTCGTCGTCGTTCTCGTCGCGACCGTCGCGGGCGCGGGCGCGAGACGCCGTGGTGACGCGTCGAGGGGGGATGATGATGGGACGGATGGAACGCATGATGATTCGGGACGGATCGCGGACGGACGACCGACGACGACGGCGACGCGCCGAGGCGACGACGGGCGACGACCGCGCGCGCGCCCGTGGATGTGGTCTCGGACGCGCCGGCGCGGGTGGTCGGGCGAGGAGGGGCGTGGAAGGAGGTATTGGGCGACGACGCGCGCGGACGCGCGGCGGCGAGACGCGGTGCGGGACGCGTTTCGGGAGTGTTTGACGGCGTACGTGACGTACGCGAGTGGACACGATGAACTCGCGCCGGCGTCGAGACGGGGGGTGGATGATTTTGGTGGCGTCGATACGACGCTGGCGGATGCGTTGGACACGATGTTCATCATGGGGATGAAGAAGGAGTTCGCGGAGGGACTCGGGCGGTTGAAGGCGGAGACGAGCGGGTTTCGGGCGTTGATCAACGGCGAGGTCGATCGAGACGTGAGCGTGTTCGAGACGAATATTAGGGTTTTAGGTGGGTTACTCGCGGCGCACGATCTGAGCGGCGATGGTGACGCGTTGGAGCTCGCGGAGTCGTTCGCGGCGAGGCTGTCGGCGGCGTTCGACACGCCGAGCGGCGTGCCGAAGTCCTTCGTGAACGTCAAGACTGGCAAGTCGTTCACGCTCCAGTGGACGGGGGGGAAGAGCATTCTCGCGGATTTTGGGTCGATGCATCTGGAGTGGGCGACCTTGAGCGCTCGTACGAAAAATCCCGTGTACGAGGCGCACACCGGGCACGTTTTTGAACAAATCGCGCGCGCGCGGAGGAACAGCGGCGCGCCAGTCGGATTATTCCCGCATCTTTACGACACGGACGCGGGGAAATTCGCCGGTGGGACGGTTACCTTTGGGGCGTTGGGCGATAGTTTCTACGAGTACTTGATTAAGTGTTGGCGATCGCTCGCGGATTTGAAGGACGCGCCCTTGTGGCGAGAGATGTTTGACGACGCCGTGGCCGCCATGACGGCGGCGAACATGACGCGCGAGTGGAAGCGAGAGGGAGACGACGTGTACCTAGCGTTGTCTCCCATCGGTTCTACTTATACCATGGAGCACTTGGCGTGCTTTGCGCCGGGTATGCTCGTCTTGGGGGGCGCCGAGGCGCCGACAAAGGCGCTCGCGGAGGAATACGTCGAGCTGGCGAGAAAAATCGCGCGCACGTGCGTGGCTATGTACGACTCTCAGCCGTCTGGGTTGGCGCCCGATCACGTCAAGTTGGTTCCGTCTCCTTCGTCGCCATCCATGAACGTCATCGACGGCAAGAACATTCAGCGTCCAGAGACGGTGGAATCGTTGTTCTATCTATACCGTAAAACCGGCGAAGAGCAGTTCCGGGACCAGGCGTGGAAAATTTTCCAATCCATGAAAGCAGCGTATAGCGTGCCCGGGAGCGGTTGGCAGGGCGTTCGCGACGTGCGACAGTCTCCGGCGCAGGGCGACGATAAGATGCAATCATTTTTCCTCGCCGAAACGCTCAAGTATTTGTACCTCATCTTCTCCGACTCGGACGAGATGCACCTCGATGAGTGGGTCTTCAATACAGAGGCACACCCGTTTCGAATCACAAAGACTCGGGCGAAGAGCGATGGTTAGGATCAGTCCGCTGCGTTAAGATAAAACGCGAAGGAGTGGGGGTGGAGATATTTGTACGTGCTCATTACTAATGTTATGTTAGCACCGTAGACGCTGGATCGCGGTTCCGGTAGAAGACTAGACTAGTGTGTGAAGTACTGATATAGAATATGCTGTATAGAAGTGAATGAAGTGTAGAGGCACGTGCGAGCTTGTCTATGCGTGCAGTACAACAATGCGTTTGCGTTTTGCTTGGTGATTATGTGACTTGATAGTCATTCAACGGTGTAATACATCCTGAGTGGGCTTTGACGTCCACTCTCGATAGAAATGTTGGGGATGAATTGAAAGAATGGGTTGCGATGGTGTACGCAAAGAATGATAAATTGCCCATTGTATCGAGATACGGCGGAAATAAATGAAGGAATTGGCGAGAACGACTGAATGCCAGTCGCTCAAAATATTGAATCGTCCGAGTCCTCGGATCGCTCGCTCGTCGCGGCGACGACCTTGCCGAAATCTGGATATAAGAACTTTTGAGCGTCCAGGCACGAATATTTGTGAAGATCGACGCCAACACCGTCGATCGTGACACCGTCGACGCCTCGGAGCTCGCGTGTGGAGACACGCTCTTCGGGACGCTTACGCAGACACGCGTAGAGCGCCGCGCGTAGGGTTGTCGACGCGACGTCGTCGTCTATGACGATGCCGCCGACATCGATGTCATCTTCGACGATTTGCATCACCAATCCGAGCGGACCACCGTCCTCGATGTTGAAGATAGGACGTCCGAGCACAGCTTCGAGCACCGTCACTCCGAGGCTCCAGACGTCAGATTTTGGCCCGCACCGTCCCGCGCTGGACACGAGTCGTTCGGGCGACATGTACGCGATCGTCCCGAGCATGTTGGATTCGGACGATGATTTGACGTCGAACGAAAGCGGCGAGCGCACTTCGGTCGCGATCCCACATATGCGCTCGCACAGGCCGAAGTCACAAAGCTTGAACGCGCCCTCCTTGTCAACGAGCACGTTGCTCGGCTTGACGTCTCGATGCACGACGCCGAGGACGTCATGGAGGTACGATAACCCGTTCGTCAGGCATCTTAACGCACACATCGCCGCGCGTGGATGCGGACCGAGCGGACCGCGCTTTCGAACGACGTCATCGAGCGATCCCTCGTGCATCAACTCGAGCGCAAAATTTGCCTCGTTCGCGCGCCCGTCGAAACCCAACCCGAGACACCGCACGATCCCACCGTGCGCGTCCTCTATCGCGCACGGCGACGATGAAGATTTTCGTCTCGACATCATCTTTCGAAGCGTCGCCGCCTCCTTCTTCGCCTGTGTCTCCATCGTCGAGTCGTCCACGCGCACGCGCTTGACCGCCACGGTTCCCAGGCGCGCGTGCCACGTCGCGGTGACCACCGCACTGCTCCCGCGTCCGATCACCCCGCGCCCGCGCCGCGCCGTCCAATCGTTCAAACATCCGTCCACGGTCGCCTCGACCGCCACCGCATCACCCGCGCCCCCCCGCGCGGTGGACGTCACCGAAGGCATCGCGATCGTCGGATAAAAACTTTCTCCGGAGGCCCCGGCGTGGACCGATCGACCATCGCGCGCGTCGACGCCGCCGCGCCCGCGCATCGTCCGCGCCACCGACGCGCGTGACGCGACAAAAAAACCACGCGCGCGTTCGCGCCAATCGCGCGCGCGCGCGCGCGTCGCGTCGACCGGTGTCGCGCGCGTCGCCCACGCGCGCGGCGTCGGTCGACGCGAATATACCGAGACGAAACGACGATTCGTCTCACACCATTCGCCCGCGCACAGTACGAGGGCCGTCGGGGTCGCGCCCCGTCGCGCCTTTTCGAATGCGCATTTTTGATTCGTCCGTGCCCATATATACTGAACACGCACCAATCAATCATATACGAAACGACGATTCGTCTGACAGCGTCCACGCGCGCGGAGTACGGTCGCGGTCGCGCCGTGTCGCGCCTTGTCGAATGCGCGTTTTTGATTCGTCCGTGACCATATATACTGAACACGCACCAATCATATACACCCCGTGTGCGCGAACAGGCTCACGCGTGAACTCACCGCGACCGCCATCGCGCGCGTCGTCGCGACGACGACCGCCGCACACACGCGCGCGCGATGAGCGGACGAGGTAAAGGAAAGACGGGAAAGAAGGCCACGAGCCGATCCGCCAAGGCTGGGCTCCAGTTCCCGGTCGGTCGCGTCGCGCGATACCTGAAGCAAGGGAAGTACGCCACGCGCGTGGGCGCGGGCGCGCCCGTGTACCTCGCGGCGGTGCTCGAGTACCTCGCCGCGGAAGTGCTGGAACTCGCGGGTAACGCGAGCCGGGATAACAAAAAGTCGCGCATCGTCCCGAGACACATTCAGTTGGCGATTCGTAACGATGAGGAATTGTCCAAGTTGCTCGGTACGGTGACCATCGCGAGCGGCGGCGTGTTGCCGAACATTCACTCCGTCTTGTTGCCGAAGAAGGGTAAGAAGAGCGGCAGCGCCTCGCAAGAGTATTAAGCGGTTCGTCGGTCATCGACGTCGATCGTTTAAGATTCAGAAAATTCATAACCAAACATGGTGTTCATTAACACCACCAAGATGAAGATTTAAACAGTCGTGAGGCGGCTCGCGCGCGACTTTGTATCCGTCGCGTCTCCGTCGCGGGAAATAGTCTTTGCATGAATCTAGAACGTTTACATCCGTGCACGTTTCGCTACTTTGACTACGTCGTCATCGCTCGGCGATGGCCAAGGGACGCTCGGTGGGGCGCGCGCTCCCGTGCGCGTCTCTCGCGAGCTTGTCGAGCGGGAACGCGGTGCGCACCATGTACTCGACGCGCTTGCGACCCTTTTGATACGGACGAGCGATGCCTAAGAATTCGAGCTCGGCCACGGCGCGGGTGAATCTCGCCTGGAGCTCCCAGAGCTTTTCGCGAGGTAACCCAAACGTACCCGTGCCGCGCGCGGCGTTGATGTCCCCGGGCCTCGCCGCGCCGAAGGATTTACACTCGCAGAAAATTTGGAACCAATCGTAAATCGGCGCTTGTTCGCCGAAACGTGCGAGCAATCGATAGGCCAACGCCGCGTCGGGGAGAGAAGCCGGGACGCGATGGCGCGCCGTGGCGTTGTCGAATCGACAGCACGAGCACGCTAAAATTTCACTTGGATCCGTGAGCGTGTTCTCAAGCGCCAGTCGAGGCGATGCCTGGAGCGCCGCGCGCACGCACTCGACATCGGTGACGACGAAGATACCACTTGCAGGAAGTGACTCTGGAGGGCGACTGGCGTACTTTCTCGCGATTGCTCTGAGGATGTCGCAAAACTCGTTCGCCGCGGCAGACACCGCGGTCGATTGCATCGACTCTCGAGGTACGAGAGCGAGAGCTTTCGAGGGTTCCGACTCGGGTGCGTCAGCGATCGCCAAAGGAGCGGGCGCACTTCGTCCACGAACGGGTGAGTGAGGAAGAACGAGGCCACCGTCGGAGGTCAAATTGTGCGTTTTCCCAGGCGTCATCGCGCTCGAGAAACCACCGCCAGCACCGCCGCGTCTCTTTCGGTTTGCCAGTAAAAGCTCGATCGCGCGACGCTTCTCCTCCTCTTCGGAGAGTTTGGCGACTTTTGGATCCTCCGTTGGATACTCGCGCACGGTTGTCGCGCTTGCCGCTTGAGCCTCGCGAAGTTGCGCATCTACCTCGTTGAACGCGCCCTCCTCGATGCGAGACAGTAAGAAACGAAGCTCTGATCCCTCGGACGAGCGCATGACCTCGTCATCGTCGAGAAACTTAAGCATGGACTTAATCACGTTCCCGATCTCCGCCGTGCTGAACTCGTCGCAAACGCGTGCGCACGCGAGCTTGATGAGCGAGTCTCCCGGACCTCCTCGCCCTTTGGGACCGGCGTCGACGCCGCTGAAGTACCCCGTTCGAGACGCATCCAGAAGCAAATCTGCTAGTTTTGTCGTCGCAATCTTCTTCACTTTCTCTTCCGTCGCCACACACGCCACTTGGATGCACCGCAACGAGAGCTCCCATCGTCTTCGAAGTCTATACACGTCCCGCAACGCCGCGCACAGGTCGTCCCTGACGTTCGAGTGGGATGAATCTTCGCCGTCACGTCGCCCGATGCCGTGTTTCATTCGCGCATACTCCAGCTCGCTCTCACCGAGACTGCGCACGAACTGATCGATGGCGTCGCCGTATTCGTCGTCGCTGTCTTCGCCGTCGGCGCACGCCTCGCTCACATCCTTGGCGAGCAACGGCAGCACCGCGCTCAGAGGCTCCGTCATGAAGTGCGTGAGCGTGAGCAAGTGTAACGCCCGACGAACGGCGGCGAGTGAGAAATCGTGCTCTTTGAAGCGCGTGTGCAACAAGGACAAGACTTCGCTTCCGAACGCGGGCGCGAGCTCGGGACTGAGCAACACGCGCTCCTGCACCGCCTCCATCATGCGACCCGGCGACCAGAGTTGGAAAGCGCGAGCGTCAAGCAAGGCGGCGGTAGACGCCGGGAGCATTCCCTGAAGTGAACTCACGCTCGTGGCCAAACCGAGGAGCACGACGACGGGTACTCTCGACGCGTACTCTGAAATGCTTCGCAGAAACGAATCGAGCACGCGAGCGTCGAAGCTCTCGGTGTCCTCAACGACGATGACAACCGGACACTTCTTGCCACGAACGATCGGGAACCAATCGTCGTCACCATCGTCTTCGTCGTCGACGACGACGTTTTCTTTCGCCGCGCGTCGACGCGTTCTGCGCGTCGACGGCGACGCCGCCGACGAATCCATCCCCCCACGCGCGCGCTTCTTCGCCCCCACTCCACTCGCAATCGCCTCCTCGTTTCCATCGTCGACGTTTCGAATCGCGAGCGGTCCCGGAGACCCTCCATCCACCCCTCGCTCGACGTCTCCGAGCGTCTCCGGCGTCTCCCGAGACGCCTCCGCGTACCACCGCCGCACCGCGCGCATGCTCTTCCCCCCCCAGTGCCTCCCATCGCGATCGAGCTGCCGCAGGATCACCCCGAACGCAACGCTCAATCCACCACCCCCGGTGCCCGACCCACGCGCCTTGAGATCTCGCGACCGTAACAACGCGCAGTGCGCCTCGCCCGTCCGTCGCAGACTCCGCGTCAGCGCCGCGAACGTCTCCTCGTGATCATCGCTGTTCACCCCCCCCGCGAGCACCACACCGCTCGGCACTTTATCGAACCCCACCACGGACGTCGTCCCATCCCCGATTTCCGAGCCACACCGACGGACGAAGTCCTCCACGCGACGAAACGCCTCGCCGTGCGCGTCATCCGCCACCGCCTGACACCGCGCGTCCAAATCCTCCCACGCCGCCGCGCACGCCCGCGCGCGCCCCTCTCGGGAGAACTCGCGCTCATTTTTCAGCACCCGCTCGAACGACGGGGCGTCCGAGCGACGCGCGGGGCGCCGTGTGGTCCCGCGCGCGACCGCGTCGTCGTCCCGCGTCCCGTCCTCGGCCCGTCGTCGCACGAACACCCCCGTCTTCACCGAGTCCGCGTCGGCGCCGAACGCGCGCGGGGCGTCGACGGGGGTCATCGTCGGAGACGCGCTCTGCGGGCGAGACGTTCGAATCATGCACTGCCGTGGATGGATGTTTGAAATGTGAGCCATTTTCATTTCATTTGATTTCATTTGACGATCGATGGACGTCTTCACACGACGACGCCGAGCGACGTCGCGCGCGCGTCGACGCGCGAACGGGCGTGATGGCGCCGAAGAAAGCGCCCGCGTCGCGGCCGAGCGCCAAGGCGGCGGTGCGGGAACAGCGCGAGCAGATCAAACGGCAGCTGGGGACGATCGAGAAAACCGCGGATGGACGCAACGCGGTGGCGTCGCTGTTCGACGCCGCGCTCGGTTTGGACCTGTGGTTGTCGGCGAATAAGAAGAGCTTCCCGGCGGACGCGGTGCGACAGAAGTGCGAGCGGTTGGGGGAGATCATGCGGTTGGCGTGCGCGGGGACGCTGCACGCGGAGGACGCGTACTGGGAGCTGGCGGGACTGTACATCATCGTGAACAGAGAGGCGAGTAAGGAAGAGTTGAAGCTGGAACGGCCGGAGTTTATTTTTCCGGATAGAATGCTCCCGGCGCTGTGCGAGGATGACGTGATTTCGGCGGAGGATTTGAGGGAGATTCTCGGGTGCGAGCTCACCGCGGAGGCGCTCGAGGCAAAGGTTTTGGAGTTCGAGGCGGATCGAGCGCGGAAGATGGAGGAGGACGGATGATTCATCGATGAACGACGTAAACGTATACAATTTGTAGCGATGTGATAGGACAACACTATACTGAAACAAGCACTCAGACGGTGCTGGGGAGACCGCGGTTCGCGAAGTCCGCGAAGGCGTCTTCGCGCAGGGTCCACCGTTCATTTTTGATGAGATAGCTCGCGAACTCGGCGGCGTTCATGACCGTCGTGACTGTTGTCGGCTGCCACGGCGACGCAGAGCTTACAATCACCGCGAGCGAGCGGACCGGTTCGGACGGCGAGGGCGACTCGGCTGAGCGACCACCTCGCGCGCGTCACCGCGGCGATGTCTCGCAAACCTTTAGCGATTCGCTCGGTATCGGTTCGTTCGTACGCCACGCAGTCGCTCGCCGAGACGGAGCTCAACATAGAGACTTCGGACGCGCCTAAAGCGCTCACCGCCGCCTGGCACTGTCCGATGTCGATCAAGTCGTCGCAGACTCGAATGAAGTCAACCGAAGCCGGTTTGGACGTGATGGACGAGCGCGCCTGAGGTGGAACGACGTCACCCTCGGTCGGTACGAAGAACGGCCCCACGGGCGATCGGACTTGTGAACGTTCGAGACCGCCGACTGAAAACGTTGTTCCCTCGTCCGACTTCCCCGAAGCCGCGGGGACGTCCGATGGATGGTTATACTCAAGCACCTCCAGCGAAGACATCGGTCCGGCGCCAGCGTGCGTCAACGCATCCGAGCGCGTCGGAACATCGGCGCCACTCTTCTCTGCACCGACCTCCGACGTCTCCTTCGCCTCGGCCAAACGCTTACCGATGCGTTTCAACCCTTCTTCGATCTCTTCGCGCTGCGCTCGAGAGTATCTCGAATTCTGTGCCGAGCGACTCATGCCCACGGCGCTCGGATTCTCGAACTTAGTTGCTTCTGCGCCATTCGCGTCGCTCGCATTTTCTTGCCCAGCGTCTAAGAAAGCATTCGGATCGTCCCCTCTGAGAAACATCTGGTACTTTTGTAAAACCGTCAGTTTCCACGGCTCCGTCGCCGCGAGTTTGGTCCATTTGCAACGCATCGTGGCGTGCCAATGATTTTTAATAGCGTTCTCCGGTCGACCCGGAAGAAGTTTAGCCAGCGCCGCCCACTTCGTCCCCAGAGCCTTGTGACCCTCGACTAAAATCTGTTCCTCCTCCGTGGTCCACTCACCGATCACGATCCCTGGTCGCAAGTGGTTCAGGTACCGATCGCGACACTGTTTCCCTCGTCTCCCGCCTGGCATGAGACTGGCGATGTAACTCCAACGCTTCGCTCCGTGTTTCGCAATCAACTGCAACAGCTCCTCGTCCTCGTGTTTACGCCATTGCTGCGAAATTCCTCGACTGTTTGCATTTTCGGGGTCCGAGGTCGACGGGAGATCCATTCCGTCGTCATCCAATCCCTCCGCGGCTTCGCGAGCACCGGAGAGAATCGCGTCGGCGCCGAACCCGCCTCGCGCATTACCGTCACCCTCTATTTTTACCGCTTTCTTCGAATCTCTACTCGATTCGTCTCCTCGAATTTTCTTCGGCCGTCCGCGCTTCCGTTTCGCCCCGTCCGTTGGCGCCGCATTTTCCGCCGCCTAAGTCAACGCGAGTCAACGCACAGTCGTCAGTCTACAATATCCGCGTGGTCGAACCCCAACTATCCCACCCGAAACCACTCTTAATGTATCACACGTACCTGCACTAGCCAAAACAACGACGCGCCCGCGTCTTGATCCTCTGTCGACCCCGCCCGTTTCGGCCGTCCGCGGCCGCGTCCGCGGCCTCTCTGACCTGCTCTTCCTCCTCGCGCGCTCATCTGACCCCTCCCTCGTCCCCGTCCACGCCCGCCCGCTCCCTGAGCATCCGTTGAGGTCTCCACGGGTTCGATTGATTTTTCAACGACGCGCTCGGCGCCTTCCGGACCATCCGGGGCCGTCAAACCGTCTGACATTACTTCGATAACTGATCGAAAATGAAACGCTCAATCACGTGATTCTTCCTTTAACCACGCCGACCTTCACGCTTTCGCGTCTCTGACGCCCTCGATCGTTGCTATGGTTTTTTCTCGCGCACTTTGAGCGATCAAACCCGCTCGAAGAGCGTCGCGTCGCGTCGTACGTCGAGCAGTACCGTGCGGAAACCGTGTGAAACCCCAACTTTAGTGTTGATTCGTATTTTACGTATTTTAAGGCTATTTCTTTAATTTTATTGATAGGTCTAACACACGTTAAATATTGGTCAATGCTCACTTCGGGCGGAGAGCTCGGCTCGGTCGAGTTGGTCGCACAGCGACTCGAGGCGCTGCCACTCCTCGTAATAGAGCTCTTGTTTCGCGACCTTTTCGTCCTTTTGCTTTTGAATCTCCAGAGCCTTACCGACGTCGGCGCCCGCCTCCAGAAGTTTCGCATCCAGGGTCTCGATGTCGGCGTCGAGCACGGCGAGAGCGCGCTCGATTTTTTCAATGACTTTCGGCGCGTTCGCCGCCTCTCTCTCTAAAGCGCGACGTTTGCGCTTGGCCTCCTCAGCTTCTTTTTTGAATGTTTCATCCATTTGAGACGATTTTCTTTCCACCGTGTCGTACTCGCCCACACCCAAGGGGGCGCCGGGGACGTGGATGGCGGACGTCGCGGAGCCATGTTCGACTCTGACGACGACAGTTGGATTGAGCGCGACGGCGAATGAGGCGTTGTGCGTAATAGCGCACACCGCACCTTCCCAACCGCGTAATCCTTCACAAAGAGCCTCGATCGCGGTGCCGTCCAAGTGATTGCTCGCCTCGTCGAGTAACAAAACGTTAACTGGTCGAAGGACGAACGCGGCGAGCGCCACGCGCGCCTTCTCGCCGCCGGAGAGCGACCCGATCGTTCGGTCAACCGCGGCGGAGCCCGTGATGCCGAGCGCGCCTAAGACCCCTCTAGCGGTTTCGCTCGTGACTGATTTATCTATTTTTCGTGCCACGTCGAGGACGTGCGTCAAGGCGTCGACCTCCGTAGGGAGCTCCTGCGCCAAATCTTGTGAAAAGTACCCGATGACCGCACCCTCGCCCTGTTCGACCCCTCCACCTCTCGATTCTATGACTCCGCCGATGGTTTTCATCAAGGTGCTCTTACCAGCGCCGTTCGGACCGATGATGAGGATTCGATCGCCCTTTGTGACAGTCAAATTCACGCCCTTGACGAGTGTGGAATCCGTGGACACATAGCCGACGTCCAAATCCTTCGCCTTCAAAATCTCCTTCGCCCCCTTCGGCGGTGTGGGAAGTTTTAAGATGACTTTTTTTGCGTCTCCCGGTCCTTCGCCTAAATCGCCCTCGCCTACGAGCTCGGCGTACTCCTCCATTTTTGCGGACACTTTATCGAGTGCCTTTTGCTTGGATTTCGCTGCGCTTGCCTTGGTCGCCTTGGCGCCAAACTTGGTGATGAAACCGTCAAGCTTGGCTGCTTTAGCGGCCTCTCGTTCGAGCGAAGCCACCGCAACCGCGCGCCTAGCCTCGTTGGTGAACAACGTCGGGTTCAATAATAGGAAACCGACGCTGGAGTACACGAGCTCGGAGTACGCGGCGCTCATGGGGACGAATTTAGAGGCATCATTTGAGTTTTGCAAGGAGTTTCACGGCATGCTGCGAGCGAGCGGGAGCGGGGCGATTGTGTTCAATAGCTCCGTTTCGGGACTGACGAGCACGGCGACGGGCTCTCTGTACGCGATGAGCAAGGGCGCGATGAACCAGCTCACGCGTTATCTCGCGTGCGAGTGGGCAAAGGATAACATACGCGTCAACGCAGTCGCGCCGTGGTACATAGCGACACCGCTCGCGAAGCAAGTGTTGAAGAACGAGACGTATCGTCGAGCCGTCGTCGACCGCACGCCCGCCGGCCGCGTCGGCGAACCCCCCGAGGTCGGCGCCGTCGCCGCCTTCCTCGTCGCCCCCGCGAGCTCGTACGTCACCGGCGTCGTCATTCCGATCGACGGCGGTTTCACCGCTCACGGATTCATCCCACCAAAGCTGTAAAGAACCGCGTTCGCGTCGTATTCGCCGTATTCATCCTGGGCCCATCGACGTCACGCCGAGTCGTCATCGCGAATCGTCATTCCTCGTCATGTCCGCCACCGCGCGCCCGTGCGCGAGCTCGAGCGCGTCGTGCGCATCGAAACGATGTTCGCCCGCGTCCCGCGCGCGCGTCGGCGCCCGCCGCGTCGCCTGTCACGCGGAAAACGCGGATAAACTCGAACGCTTTGCGGACTGGCTCAAAAAGGAAATCGACATCACGTTCAACCCGCGAACGCCCGGGGCGAAGATCGCCGGTCGGTGCCCGGAGTGCCCGGACACGCAGACGCAACCGTCCGAGGTCGATCGCGATCGAGCGAGCGATGACGCGGAGGAGACGTCGGGATCGACGATGGGGGATTTCGACCTGCGGGCGTTCACGGCGGAGCTAGAGCGCGCGATGGAGGCGCCGGCGACGAGCGAGGGATTGGTCCTAGAGAAGAAGTCGGCGGTCGTGAAGACGGTGGAGGCGACGGATGAGGAGGAGGCGATGATGGAGGCGGAGGATGAGGGGTACGATTACGACGTCGAGGACGAGGGCGAGCCGCTGAACGGACGCGAGTTGGCGCTGATGTGCATCAAGAAGTACGGCAAGGCGCACGATATGGCGATCAAGCACGTGAAGATGGGAAGTGGGATGAAACGATGGGTGTCGCTTAACCTCTACGTCGGTCATCTCGGGCAGCGCTCGTACCCACAGACTGAGGCTCAATATCTCGAGCAGCTCGACGTCATCGCGTACTTGATCAACTCGTGGGGTCAGGCGGAGTACACGCGGGCGTTCTTCCGGGAAAAGCCGATCGCGCGACGCGGACTTCCCTCCAGGCCTCGCGTCGACACGTGCGTGACGCTGCAGTTCGCTCGCAGTCCGACGTGGAACGATGACTTATCGGACGAATACTTTGACTTCTAAATTCTATACAACTACCGGTAGTCCAACGACAACACCGTCTATAAATCCGGCGCCGGAAGCGGCGCGCGTCCCCACACCGTCTTTTGCGGCTGTCCCGAGATATCGATCACGATTCGATTCACCTTCACTCGCCACTCGCCGACGTCCATAGACTCGACGCGCCGCCGCAGCTCGTCCACGCGCTCCCGGCCCGGTCGCGTCATCGACAACAACGACACGTGCGGATCTGGATCATCGAAATACCTCGGAAATCCCAACGGTTCAAGAGCTCTGTTCACCCGCTCGATCGCGCGCACGAGCGCGCGCTTATCTCCTCGCTCGCTCCCCTCGCGAAAGCCCGCCGCGACGAACGCCCGCGTCTCATCCTCATTCACAAACACCCTGAGCGCATCAAACGTCACCTCAATCGCCTCCATCCCTCGCAGTTCCTTACGCACGCCCGCGCGCATCGTCTCCCAATCCTCCGCGCGCGTCTCGAACGGCTTGGACATCGAGACGTGCCCGTCGTCCGTCCCGCGTCCGTCGTCCACGTCGTCAACGAACGCCTCCCGCACCGTCTCCAGCGCCCGCTCGAGCGTGGACGCGCGCGCGACCGCGCCCACGGGGGCTCGGACGTGCGTGAGAAACGTCCCATCGACCCCGGGGCGCGCGCGCGGGCCCATCGTCGGCGAATGCGCGTCGCCGGCGCGTCGCGTGCGGGTCCAACGCCATACGTCAGACTGTTCGCCCACACGGCCCACACGCGTCGAGGGCAAACATTCGCATCGCGTCGACGTCGCCCCAGAGCGGCGCGACGAGGTGCGAGGCCGACGGCGTCGCGACGACTCGCGGGCGACCGCGCGCGATGACGACGACGCGACCGCGCTCGAGCGCGC